CTAAGTTATGCATATTTTGAGGGGGAGCTCTTATGTTTGTAATAGAAGAATTGTTTTTTATTCTAATCAAAATAGGGGGAGAAAATATTTAAAGCCTAATATGATTGTTTTTAAATATTATCTGGTATATTATCTGGTATGTTTAATGTGTTTGTTAGTATGACAGATAAAACAAAGTTATTACAAGGCTTTAAAAGATAATTTTGATCATCATCAAAAAGGGGGATATTGTTGAACATTCAAGGACTTGATGTTGCACTTGATGGACATGAAGATTGTTGATTTTGATGATGATTCAAGAACTCAAAGACTTAAAGTATTGAAGACTTGTTTTGTATTGTAATAACTCTGTTTTAATTAGATTGAGTCTCGTAATATTAGAGTTTGAGATAGCCTGTACATAGTCTCGCACCTTAGAAGCTTCAAAAAGCTCAAATTTATCATCCAGGCTCGGCTTTAATCGATTAAATAGGGAAATAATCGATTAAAACAAAGGAGAAAAACCATTTTCTCAGATCTGCTCATCGGTTTAATCGATTAAACCACCTGTTAATCGATTAACAGCCCGTTAATCGATTAACAACCCTTTTAATCGATTAAAACAGAGAGTTTTGGGGTTCTGTTGATTTTGGCTCTGTAATAATAGATTAATACTTCATTTAATCGATTATTTCAGTCAGATTTTGATTTTTAACTTCAAATCAACCCTATTTTCGAAAACCCTTTTCCCAAGAACCCTAATTCCGAAATTCCCAATTTCCAAACCCTAATTTCTCTACTTAAGCTTCTCTATGGCACTCAGAAAAGTAGAACAACCTTTTTCATACAAAAGTTAAGTGTTGTGAGTGCCAGAGAACTGTTTGTTGCAAGAAAAAGGGGCTTTCGGAACCTGGTGTGGGCTAGAAGCGATAAGAATCACTAAGTGGAGTTCTTAGTGGATTGTGTGTTGTGCCGTCTCTAGGGAAAGATGTTCATCATCTCTTGTGGATTTCAAGAGAGGTGTTTTCTTATCTTTATCTTCTTCATTGTAATTTGTTTGTAACAACTTGATTATAGTGACAACGTTAATCCTCTGTTTGAGTGATTAGCAACTGGACGTAGGGTCTTTTGATCCGAACCAGTATAAATTTCCTATGTAAGATTCTCTTCTCTTCTCTATTTACATTTACACAGTTTTTAATCGGTAAAATTTGGGGAAAATTTTGAAAACCTAATTTTTATTAAGAAACCAATTCACCCCCCTCTTGGTTTTTGTCTGACCACGCGAACATTTCGCTGCGCGATTCTAACACCTACTACATAAGCAATGTCAGGTCTAAAAAAACTCATTAAATGCAATAAGCTCCCAATTACCTGAGCATACTGAGGTTGAGAGATTGAGTCTCCTCTATTTTTCTTTAACTTAGAGTTAGCATCATAAGGGGTATTCACTGGTTTGACGTTATAACACCCAAATTTCCTAAGAAGTTTGTCAATATATTGTTCTTGGGATAAAAAAAATATTATCGCCCTTCCTTATGATTTTAACTCCCAAAATCACATTGGCTTCACCCATATCTTTAATTTCAAATTTAAATCCCAGAAACAACTTAGTTCTGGAGACAATGTCAATGCATGTACCAAATATTAGCATGTCATTTACATATAAACATATAATGACATATCACTAGTCTCAAATTTAGAGTACACACATTTATCAGCATTATTAATTGAAAAGCCATTACAAAGTAGAACACTATCAAGTCTTTCATGCCATTGTTTTGGTGCTTGTTTTAATCCATACAAAGATTTTAAAAGTTTGCACACTTTGTTCTCTTGACCTGGAATAACACACCCTTCTGATTGAGTCATATAAATTTCCTTCTCTAATTCACCATTCAAAAAGGTTGTCTTAACATCCATTTGGTGTATAACTAGCTTATGGATAGCTGCTAGAGCTAACAAAACTTGAATAGAGGAAATCCTAGTCACAGGGGCAAAGGTGTCAAAATAATCAATGTTGCATTTTTGAGTAAAACCCTTTGCTACTAATCTTGCCTTATATTTATCTATGATCCATCAGGATGATACTTTTTCTTAAAGATCAACTTACAACCAATAGGTTTTGTTCCTTTAGGCAAATCTACCAAAGTCCAAGTATTATTTTTCTTAATTGAATCAATTTCAGTCTTAACGGTCTTATCCCAATCTATTGCATCAAGAGCCCTAGTAGCCTCTAAAAAACTCATTGGATCATTTTCAACTAGATAAGTGTAGAAATCATCTCCAAAGGAGGTTTCCTTACTCTGTCTTTTACTTCTCCTCAAATCCTCATATATTTTATCACTATTAATATCTATAGATTGTTTAGGTGTCTCACCAACCTTTAGAGAAAAATATATTCAAAGAACTCAACATTTTTTGTCTCCACTATAGTATTATGCTCAATTATATCACTTTTAAGGACAAAAAACCTATAGGCAGCACTATGTTCTGCATAACCTAAGAAGATACAATCAGAAGTTTTAGAACTTATTTTTCTTTTCTTATGATTAGGTAACATTACCTTAGCTAGGCACCCCCACACTTTTAGATATTTAAGATTAGGTTCATAACCTCTCCATAACTCATAGGGAGTTTTACCAATTTTCTTAAAAAACACATTGTAAGCATATCTTCTCTCAGAGGTTATTTGGTGCACTAAAGTTGTTTGATTAAGTATACTTTGGTGTATGTAGGGTAGTCATCTATAAATGTCACAGATGATATGAATCAATAATATAAGCAGAAGAACAAAATTTATTAACAACCTCAGAGATGTTAAGTACCAAAAAAACCTTGATCACAATATCCATTCACTATAAGGACATTATTTTTTGTCATAACAATCTTATCAGATTCGAATGACACTTTAATCCCAACTTTTCCTAACAGTGCTATAGATATTAGATTAACTCTGATTAATGACACATGTAGCACATCATTCAAGGTCAAAGTCTTTCTAGATGTGAGTTTTAGAAGAACTTTTCCTTTTTCTAAGACAGGAGTTGTCCTGGAATCACTGAGGTAAATATGTTCTTCTCCATCCCCACATTAGTGTAGGAGGTAAAAACACTCCTGTTTGCACATATGTGCCTGGTAGCACAGAGTCTACCACTCATTTGCTCACATTTGTCACAAGGTTTATTTGGGAAACGACCACAATAATTGTATCTTTTCCTTTGGCTAAAATTGTCTTAGGAGATTGTCGTTTCTCATTCCACATCTACACTGAGGTGCATGATGACCTTACTTTCCACAAAAAGCAATTTTCTTTCTTGAACGTAAAGTGGGGTTAGATCCACTGGTTTCATATAGTCCCAACCCTTTCTTATACGTATGTACAAAATAATATGGGGACAAAATAATATTCTACTTATACGTATGTACAAAATAATATGCAGACAAAATAATATCCTACACGTATGTAGGAAATAAAATAATATGTAGATCTAAGTCATGCACACGTAACTGTTAATTGTTCACTACCAAAACAAATCTCTCACAACATATAATACTCATGCATAATTCATATACTCATGAAGCATAATTCATTTTTCCTTTGTGTAATAAATCTGGAAAAGGAACCTATGTTTGATATGTGTGCTCTATGGACAAGCTGCATGATGATAGCATTTGATCTAAATGTTTACCTTTCTTTCATCATAATTATAACATGCAGTAATCAATTTCATATATGATTCACCTTTAACCCAATCACGTAATTTTTCTTTTTCAATTAAAATCAATTATAGGATCATTCACATTTCAATAAGAATTACAGTGTCATTCACACAGGGGCTATGAAATTAATTTCAATTTGAAATTGATTGCAGCTTAAAACATAGATTAGGATTTATTCCTTTATTCAATTTTGGGAAAAACATAATTTAAAAATTATCATAAGAGAAAAATCATAAATCTAATAAGTATGGCTATGATACCACATGTATTTTAATTTGTAGTTTTTATACGTTACTAATTCTATAAAACTACTCTTCACGTTTAGATTCTTTATTCTCACGTAATAACATACATGAATCATAATCGTATAATAACATACATGGATTGATTCTCACATAATAACATACATGAATTATAATCAGAAGACTAACCTTGATCCATGAGCACTTCATAATTCCTTTTCTTTCACTATCCAATATTTTAAAACTGTTGAAGGAAGTTGTTGATATTCGTACTGTCAGCCATAAGTTTTTAAGATGGTTGTAAAAGCTGACACGAACAAACTTTATTCCTGAGACGTGTATAAACACCGCCCTTAAGGACTTATCTGCGGTGTATTGCGCAAGTCCCCCAGGATACAATAGGAACTTCTCGGAATATCCAAGGATCTTGGAAACTAGCAAGAAACTCTCAAAAGAGTAAATTAACCCAGGATAATAGAAAGAATATCAGAGAAGAGAAGATGAGAGAGGTGTGTCTTGAAGAGGGTGAAGTCTCTATTTATAGGAGAAAGTCTGTAGCAGTTATGGGAAGACTTGGTAGTAAGTCTGTAACGTTCTCTCAAATAGTGTTCTACAACGTTCTTTGAAACAGTCTTCTGCAACGTCTGAGAACACGTTCTTTGAAACGATTTTCTGCAACGTTATCTGAAACAGTTTTCTACAACGTGTATAAGAACATGTTCTTTGAAACAGTCTTCTGTAACGTGTGAGAACACGTTCTCTGAACGATCTTCTGCAACATGTGAGAACACGTTCTCTGTTTTGCAATACCCCTTAATTTACAACAATCTCCCACATATTGCAAAACAAAAGAAGGAGATAAAAGAATAAAAGAAGAAAATCCTGAGAGCTGGTATAACAAGCTATATGAACCAGTCTTAGACTAAAAAACTTAACACACAGTATAATTGGTGTAACAAGCTATATGAACCAAAACACTTAATTAGTGTTAACAATTTTAATAATCACAATACGTCATAAATAATAACAGTAGAGGAAGATTAAATACTGCAATAATTATGATGACACGAAACATCGTGAACTGAAGCCACATAGAGGTTCGAGCTTTTTTGGTTTCTTGATTATCCAATTCTGTGATTTATCTGATGAAGGTTGCTTGGTGATGGCGTCGCGGGTCCACGCTACTACCGGCCAAACTAGAAAGCATAAAGAGAAGATCGGATGGGCATCAGAGAGCCTTTTTAGGTTGCTTTTCGTGGTAATCATGGCGTATACTGTTAGGTATCAGACTACTTGCACAAGAATTCAACTAAAATAGAGAAGAGAAAAATTGAATAACAATAATAGACAAAAGTAGAGATTTTATAATAGGAAGAAAAATTACACACCCCTTCTCTAGTCCTAAGAATGACAACCCTTTCTAATACTAGAGAAAGAAAGAAAATTTGGGATGGATAGAATGGGGGGTATGTGGTTTCTTATATAACCACTCACCCATACCCCCTTTGAAGTACCCACAAATATGGGACTTTGTTCTCACAATCTCCCACTTGAAGATTTTGATGAAATTAATCAAATCTTCACACCATGATTATCTTTTCCATCTATGCTGCTTATGCTTTCAATAGGCCATAACAGGATCGAATTTGTATAAACTTGTCAGCATTTATTGGTTTTGTCAAGGCATCTGCTAGGTTATCTTTGGTATGAATCTTCTGCATATCCACACTCCCTTCCTCTACTACTTCTCTGACAAAATGATATTGTACTCCTATGTGTTTTGTTCTGGAATGAAAAGTTGGATTCCTTGCAATGTGCAAGGCACTCTGACTGTCACAATACACATTGATCTTCTGTTGCTTGTGTCCAAGTTCTCCCAATAACCTTTGAATCCAAATTTCTTCCTTGCATGGCTGGTTAGCTGCCATGTACTCCGCCTCTGTAGTAGATAAGGCTACAACAGTCTGCAGTTTAGATAGCCAACTTACCGCTCCACTTGCAAGTGTAAACACATATCCTATAGTAGATTGTCTTTTATCAAGATCACCTGCAAAATCTGAATCAACATATCCTCTGACAATAAACTCTGATCCTTCAAAACATAATGCAAAATTTGAGGTTCCTTTAATTTATCTTAGGATCCTTTTCACATCATTCCAGTGCTCTCTACCAGGATTTGCCATAAATCGACTAATCGTCCCAACTACTTGTGTAATATCTGGTCTCGTACAAATCATAACATACATAAGACTTCCCACCATCGATGCATACGACACTCGAGACATTTCCATCCTCTCTGCTTCACTGCTAGGACATATATCTGAGGATAATTTATAATTGATAGGCAATGGGGTAGAGATTGGCTTACAATCTTGCATGTTGAAGCGCCGCAAGACTTTCTTAAGATAATTCTTCTGAGAGAGCCAAATATTCTTATCATTTTTGTCTTGGTGAATTTGCATCCCTAAAATTTTGTTTGCGAGTCCTAAGTCCTTCATGTCAAATTCCCTAGCCAACTGTGCCTTCAATTCTTGGACTCGATCTTTGTTGGGGCCTACCACCAACATGTCATCCACATACAACAGCAAAATGATGAAATCATTATCATCAAACTTCTTGTAATACGTACAATGGTCTGAACTCAGCCTGTTGTATCTGAGGCTAATAATGATGGAATCAAATCTCTTGTACCAACACCTTGGCGCCTGCTTTAAACCGTACAAAGATTTGGTCAACCTACAAACCAAGTTTTCTTTTCCTTGTTCTTCAAAGCCTTCTGGTTGGAGCATATAAATTTCTTCTTCAAGTTCTCCATGAAGAAAAGCAGTCTTTACATCCAATTGTTCAAGATGTAAGTCAAATGCAGTACACATAGCCAACACTACTCTGATAGTGGTAAGTCTAACCACCGGAGAGAATATCTCATTGAAATCAATGCCTTCCTTTTGAGCATACCCTTTTACTACCAGTCTTGCACGATATCGTTCCACTTGATCATTACCATCACGTTTGATCTTATAAACTCATTTGTTGCCGATGACTTTTCGACCTTGTGGAAGTGCAACAAGCTCCCATGTCTTGTTTTTGTGTAAGGCTTCTATTTCTTCTTACATTGCTGCCATCCACAGAGAAGCATCTGAACTACTCACAGCCTCCTGAAAGGTTGATGGTTCTCCCTCTTCTATTAGAAGACAGTATGCATCATGACTTGCCATTACATAGTCTAAGTGCCAAGATGGTATCCTTATCTGACGTGTTATTCGTCGAACTTCTGTATCATTGGCCTCTTCTGGTTCTTGTTCCTCATGCTCTGGTTCTACTTCTAAAGAATCTTCTTCTCCAGACTTTCCATCTATTTGTACAGTAGTAACATCTTTAGAAGTGTTGTCATTTACCTGTTCATTTTGTAGTTCATTCTCTGCAAAGATTACATCTCTGTTGACAATAACCTTGCGAGCAGTGGGATCCCACAGGCGATGCCCCTTAACTCCGTCAGCATAGCCCAAGAATATGCATTTTCTGGATTTTGGATCCAACTTTGTTCTTTTTTGGGAGTTGTACATTACGTACACAGGACATCCAAACACATGTAGAGAAGAGTACTCTACTGGCTTTCCTTTCCACATCTCCATAGGTGTCTTTAAACCAATCACAGTTGATGGGGATCGATTTATCACGTAACAAGCTGTCTTCATTGCTTCTGCCCAAAAAGACTTGGTTAATCTTGTTGTTCGCAAGATAGCTCTAGTCCTTTCTAGGAGAGTTCTATTCATCCGCTCTGCTACACCATTTTGCTGAGGTGTATGAGCAACCGTGAACTGCCTCCTTATACCCTCCTGCTTGCAGAATGCCAGAAACTCACCATCTGTATATTCTCCTCCATTGCCTGTCCTTAAGCACTTGATCTTCTTCCCAGTTTCAAGCTCCACTTGTGCTTTGAATTCCTTGAAAACTGGAAACACGTCTGACTTTTTCTTAATTGGGTACACCCACAATCTCCTAGAGTAATCATCAATAAATGATACAAAATATTTAGCTCCTCCTAGGGACATTTCCGGTGACTCCCACACATCAGAATGTATCAAGTCAAGTATGTGTTTGCTTCTAGTAGTTGACTTTTCAAATTTCAATCTATGATGTTTGCTTGTCACACAGTGCTCACAGAAAGGTAAGCTTACCAATGTGAGCCCGGGTAAGAGTTTACGTTCCGCAAGGACCTTCAAGCCTCGTTCTGACATATGACCTAGTCTACGATGCCACATTGTTGTTGATTCCTCTTGACTAGCCGATGCAACTGATACATTTGCCTCTTGCAACGTATCTCCCAGAAGCATGTATAAGTTTGCAGCAAACTTCTATGCTTTCATCATTACTAGAGCACCTTTTACTACTTTCAAGATCCCACCTTCAATATGGGTCTTGTAACCGAGGTCATCCAATTGTCCAATAGACAATAAATTCTTTCTCAAGCCCTTCACATGTCGTACCCTTTGAATTGTGCGAATAGTACCATTGTACATCTTCAATTTGACAGTACCGATTCCAACAATTTTCAAGGCATGATCATTACCCATGAACACAAATCCCTTTGAGATAGGTTTATAAGTGCAAAACCAATCTCTTCGTGAAGTCATGTGTCATGTTGCTCCTGAATCTATTATTCAAACATCAGTGAGCTGCTTTTCACCTTTGGAACCAATAGCTGCTTCGCTATACAGGATTTCTCCATCATCAGAGGTACTGGCAACCCATCCTTGAGATGTAGTTGCCTCAGAAGACTTCTCTGCATTTTTCTTCTTCAAACAATCTTTCTTCAAGTGTCCTCTCATGCCACAATAGTAACATTTGAAATTCTTCCTTCCTCGAGATTTTGATCTACCATGATTTTGACTCCCACTGGAGCCACACTCTATTGATCTTTCTCTCATCATCGTCAAAGCCTCTGCTTGCTTGGAATTTTTCAATCTATCTACCTTATTCTTGCGTCTGGATTCTTCTTCTAGAGTAGCTCCAACAACATCCTCAAAGCGTAGATTTCCTTCCATATTAGTATTTGTTATGTTGATGATGAGTTGATCGTATGAATCTGGTAGGCTCTGAAGTAGAAGTTCCGCACGTTTATTTTCAACTATGTTGAAATCTACTGCTGATAGTTGGGCAAATAAGGTGTTCAAATTATTGATGTGGCCCGTCATCGATGTGGATTCACTCATCCGAAGAGTGTATAGTTTCCGTTTCAAGAATATCCTTGCGTGAAGAGACTTCACCTCATAATTTGATGAGGGCATCCCAAATCTCCTTTGTTGTATTCTTTTCCGCAACACTGGATAGTACGGAATCTGCCATTGCTAAATGCAAATTTGCGATAGCGTTGCCGTCAATTTTCTTCCACTTCTGATCCGTCATTTCTGCGGGTCTTCATTCAATTGCATCAAGACAATTGTCCTTTCTCAAAATTTCCTTCATCTTCAATTTCCATAATGAGAAATTGTTCCCGTTGAACTTCTCTATCTCATATTTTGCTGCCATGGTTGTATTTTCACTTATGCAACTCTCACTTATGAATAGTATTATCTACTGGAACAATAGTAGTAGACCATGAACCAGTACACTAGGTAAGTTCTCAAGAAAGAGATGTGAGTCACTAATGGACACACTTAAGTACCAAGTCTTTCCTAGTCAGAACTTTCCCAGACAACAGTTACACACTACCACACCTTTTCCAGTAAAAACTCTTTTTCTGATGTGGAAGATCATATTAAACCGCAACCACAGAGCATACTAATAATTTTACCAACACTATTCTAGTGACTAGCGCAACGGAATAAGAACGTGACTCTGATACCACTGTTAGGTATCAAACTACTTGCACAAGAACTCAACTAAAATAGAGAAGAGAAAAAATTGAATAACAATAATAGACAAAAATAGAGATTTTATAATAGGAAGAAAAATTACACACCCCTTCTCTAGTCCTAAGAATGACAACCCTTTCTAATACTAGAGAAAGAAAGAAAATTTGGGATGGATAGAATGATGGGTATGTGGTTTTTTATATAACCACTCACCTATACCCCTTTGAAGTACCCACATATGTGGGACTTTGTTCTCATGGTATACTTCGTTTATATATAATGTCATTGTTAATGGACTTTTTTTTTGGTATCAGTTTAAGTATTTAAAATCTATTAATATAACATTGTGATATGATAACAATGGTACTTCGTAACTGAACCAAAAATATACTGAACGTATTCTATCACTGTTATGCGTATTTCACAAACCTATGTATATGTGTGAACTCCAAACCTTAAAAATGTGTAAAATCTGTTATAATGATGAGGCCATTGTAAAACCCAATTGAACCTAAATCATAGTTTCATTACCTTATCTAAACTTTGAGTCCTGTGCTTTCATTCTTTTTTGTTACAAGATCATCTCTACCAACTTTTTATTTTAGTTTTAAATTTTTATGAACTTCTGTAACTTCACTCCTTATAAACAGTTTTCACATCAATGAGTTAAGTTATACTTAGGTCAGTTAACCAAAGTATGTTGTTTCTAGTGCAGACAAAAAGTAAAAATGTCCACATATAAAACATAAGACAATTGTGCTAAAGCCAATAACAACGTATCATTCTTATGCTTTCTGTTTCGAGAAGTCATATTTTCATAAATTAAAATTATTATTATAATATTAAAAAAGGGTTGTTTACTAGGATATTATGGTTCCACGTTTCAAAATGCAGTCCTTAAAATAAGATATTTGTGGTGCTAGTTTATCAGTTTTCTTCTCTGAATTTATTTGATGCAACTTGTAACAGCACTGCATATTTTTGTCTGAAGAGTAAACATGCATAAGGGTACGGTATTTAACGGCTATCAATATCTTGTCGTTGGAGTCTTCACTCTTGTTATAAGCTTCCCTGTTGCAATCACGCAAGCTGTTGCACCTTCTCTGGATGTTTCGTCTTTGAACCGGACCAGTTTTCCCCCAGGTTTCATCTTTGGCACTGCCTCCTCAGCCTACCAGGTCGGTATCATTTGATTCAGCACTCATATACTTTATAGCATGTATCAAGTTGTTGGGTATGAAGGTAGACATTTAACCTCGTCAAAAGAAAACTATGACAGAAAAAAAAAATGATTGTTTGAGATAGATTGTTTCACATTTCATAATTATGAACTTTATAGGGAGTTAGATTTGTATAGTATAATTAATAATTGATTTGTGTATATCATGTAGTATGAAGGTGCTGCAAATGAAGGAGGTAGAGGACCAAGTATATGGGATAACATTACTCATAAATATCCAGGTATCTCTTTCTAATACTGTAAATTTTTTTATCGATAAATAATTTGGAGGAAGAAAAATGATACTTTGACAACCCAAATCCATATACAACTCATGTAAACAATTCTGTTTTAATATTATAATAATAGTTTTATTTTATTTTTATTTTTATTAAATCAGTCTATAGATTATTATATTAATAAAAGTGAGTTGTTTGAATAGTTGTATGGTTTCTGGTTGTCAAAATATCACTACTCTTTAGGAAAGACTAAAAGGTGTTTCCTCTGTTTTTGTGATTATCCATGTTGGTTCAGTTTAGCTATTTAGAAATGTAAGTTATTCTGTAATAGTTGAAAAGTACAGATTAAGTTTAAAAATATCCTCAGTTTGAAAACCAGATAGGATTTACTCGTGGCGTGGTCACTGTATTAGATTGCTTGAACATCTCACTGTATAAAATATTTTATTAGTTGAAGATAAAGAACATACAGAGTGCTCCTCACTTTTTATGTCTAAAATTTGACTGTTTGTACTGTCATTATATGGTATGAAAAGTGGTTCTTATCGCACCGTTAAAAGTGAAGATTAGAACGATTTTTAAGAAAACATTATTGATAACTGATTAGGTATTTAAGAAGAAAAAAACTGAAGGCTTAATCAATATATTGATTTGATAACCATTGTTCCAATCCCTCTGGACAATGGCAGTTGTCGTGCATCTGGTTTTTTCATGTAGTAATTGGTGCAATTGTAAACAGAAATGATATTGGATAGAAGCAACGGAGATGTAGCTGTTGATCAATATCATCGCTATAAGGTACCATCCAAACGGATATTGGGCTTTATTCTGCACTCTCTCTGTCTTGTTAATTTTATATCATTCTAGTATTTTTACCAGAAATACTTGTATCTTTCTTATTGCCTAAAAATTATTAAAAATGAGTCTTGTTTATTATATTTAGTGAATTTTGTTTTTAAACTTGTGGGATCTATATGAATTTCACGGTTTTATGCTATCTTGAGTCATTTATTGGTTGTGTCTAATAAACACATACTCATGCAATTAGTACTTACAGTTTATGTATATAATTTACATGGGAGCATAGAAGGTCATCTCGTGAATTACCTTCCTGGAGCTCTAATTTTTTTGTTCACTATCTTCTTACCAAGTGTGTTAACCATTTTACATGTTAATAGGAAGATGTTGGGATCATGAAGTATATGAACACTGATGCCTATAGATTCTCCATCTCGTGGTCAAGGATATTACCAAGTAAGCAAATGTTGGAATTAGTTTCGTCTTCCAAGTTTCAATAAGTAAAATTTCGCTAACACCACTCTGATAAATATGCAGAAGGAAAAATTAGCGCGGGTATAAACCAAGAAGGAATCGAATATTACAACAATCTCATCAACGAACTACTGGCTAATGGTCATACATATAATCCATTCTGCATTCATAAATAAATAATCATATAAATATACTGATAAGAATGATATTAATTCAGATCTTCTGCCATTTGTGACCCTTTTCCATTGGGATCTTCCTCAAGCCTTAGAAGATGAATACGGTGGCTTCTCAAGTCCTCATATTATGTAAGCTACAAAACACAAATTTTCACTCAAGCTAGCTAGAATATTAGACACTAATTCTAAATCAATGCTTGTTTATGTAAATTGATTTTTCATCAGAGTTACACACATTTCTATGTGCAGAAATGATTTCCAGGACTACGCAGAGCTATGCTTCAAGGAATTTGGAGATAGAGTGAAATATTGGACTACTTTTAATGAGCCATGGAGTTACAGTGTGGCCTCAGAACCCTACACGACCTCACACTACCAACTGCTTGCTCATGCAGCAGCTGTCAAAATTTATAAAACTAATTATCAGGTGCACGATCAGAAAAATATAAAATTTTATTCAGAAAATCCCTAAAATCTAATTATTTTTTATTTATTTGTTAGTAGTAGACATCATGTTCTGTTGTTCACTAAGAATGTACAAAATATTGACTTGAATCTGAGCAGGCACCTCAAAATGGTTTGATAGGCATCACCTTAAATTGTTACTGGTTTATTCCGTTCTCAAATGACACATTAGATCATCGAGCTGCCCAACGAGCTCTTGATTTCATGTTGGGATGGTAAAAATGCTAATTAATTTTGTTGAATTATCTCTTTGTTCCTGTGTTAGTTTGATGTTTCTTAAATGAATTGATTGCAGGTTTATGCAACCACTTACAAGAGGAAAATATCCAAAAAGCATGCAGTCTTTGCTGGGAAGCCGATTACCAAACATCACTAAAGAGCAATCAAAGCTACTTATTGGCTCGATTGATTTTGTTGGACTCAATTACTACACCACTAACTTTGCTGCTCATATATCCCACCCAATTAATAGCACAAGCAGTAATAGCTATATCCAGGATACTCATGTCAATTTTACAAGTAAGAACGCATTGGTTGTAAATCTTAACGAGGAATTGTACATCAGATACCCCTTTTTTCTTTTATTGTAAAATTCAGGGGAAAAACAGGGGCAACCTAATTTCTGATCAAGAAATTAAGACCCATAAAAAGAGAAGCATGTGCTCTAAGAACTTATAGCGTGGATAATTTGATAGAGAAATTAATCATTGATACTTCCTTTTATTTTGCTTTTCAAAAAAATAGAAACTGTCTTTGATGAAAATTTAAAAAATCTCCTATGACTTATGACAGCTGAACGTAACGGGTTACCCATTGGACCAAGGGTACGTAACCTTCTTTATTTGCTGATATATCTCAAAAATTAGGCATCTGTGTGTACCTCACAAGTAAAATCAAGTGCTTCTTTCCTTTGTATGATTTATTTATTTGATGAAATAACAAGGAAACGTCATTTCTCTGCAGGCCAGTTCATCTTGGCTTTATGTTTATCCAAGGGGACTTGGAGAACTATTGTTGTACATCAAGATGAAGTATAACAGCCCTGTAATTTACGTAACAGAAAATGGTAATACTTTAATAATCTTCTTTTACTTTCCATTTATACCTATAATCTTCTTGTTTTCTTCACAATCAAATCAACCTGTAATGAACTAAAATGTCCATATTTACTTAAATTATAGGTATGGACGAGTACAATGATCCAAAACTATCACTCGAAGAGTCACTCATGGATACTTATAGAATTGACTACTTCTATCGCCATCTTTATTATATTTTAATTGCAATCAAGTAAGTGAAACTCTCTTTTCTTATTCCATAATTTAAATTTTATGATTTTGACTCGCTTATTATTTGTTGGCTTTTGGTTCGAAGGGATGGGGTGAAAGTACATGGATATTTTGCATGGTCGCTTCTGGACAACTTCGAATGGAGTTCTGGCTACACCATGCGTTTTGGAATTAACTTCATCGATTACAAGGATAATTTGAAAAGACACCAAAAGCTCTCTGCTCATTGGTTCAGGAATTTTCTTAATAAAGATGGACTCGTTGCATGATGATACCCTATGCTTAATAAGATGAGAACTAATTTTTATATTTTTTTATTTTAAATTATAAGTATCTACATCTGTGTTATAATTGTTTTACACTTTGTCTGTCCTGCTGTTACTGATTCTGTGGATTATGAGAATGAAAAGAATCTCTAAGAAATATTCTCATCTGTTCAAGAACAAGAAACATTATTCATATCATGTTTTATGGAAATTCTGGTTGAGGCACCAGTTTATGCGACTAAATGTCTATCTTATGTTTAATTAAAAACCATATCAGCTTAGGATCACACATAATATCAATTTGTCAACTTAAATAGATATACTGCAGGGAACCCCCATTCCAGTCACACCTGGCTTTGAGAAAGGTTTCAACAGCTCGTATGGGACAATGCCAGCTCCATTTCTGTTCATTAATTTTGTATTTTCATTCCTCTCATCAATCACTGATTCTAGTTTCTTCAGTCTTTCTCTAAATCTTTCAAAGGCATTCTTTATGACGGGGTCTTCACCCCATGATGGTTCCATCTTTTCTCCTATGTATTCCTCATCAGGTGAATGAGTTGAAAGTATATCCAAGACAGCCATGACTCTAGTTGCTTGAAGTTGTGAAGGGAAGCACTTGAGAAGAGCCTTTTCAGGTTTTGCAATGAACTTTTTCTACTCATCTTCTGAAGGGTCCTCTGTGGGCATTTTAGTCCTTGTAATTGTAGGCCTATTTGGGAAATATCCCCCGTAAACATATTGCCCAAAGTTCACTGCTGCATGGTGACCAGAAGTTACCCATATGATTGGGCTGAGGATTCCAATGAGGTCTCTTGGGGTTTTGAGAACTGGCCACCATGGCTCATCTTTTTTGTCAGCATGACCAGCTGTTCTAATCTCTTTCCACCATGCCTGCAGCTCTTCATCTGACTTCACAAGACTTGGTTCAGGGTAATAATGGTTGACATAGTCGGTCACCCATAGCTTTATGGCGTCCCACAGAAGCAACCAATCATTGGCAAAAGGATAGTCTTGAATGGTAAGTGTTGGGATAAAGATATTTGATTAGCTAAATTATAGGTTTGAATAGCGGTACAAACTATTGTATAATCAGAACTTCCTTTATTTAGTCCTGATTTGTTAGAGTAAAATACTATAAGATCACAGTATCTGTGTAAAAAATAATATGAATAAAAATTATAGAATAAATTCTATGTTTTTCAATTTGGTACCAGAGTTTATAATTTTTTTCTTTTTCTTTCTAAATCCTTGGAGATCTTAACTGGAGAGATGGCAGAAAAACTAATTCCAATGGTTGTTCAATATGAAGGTGTTTTCAACGTAGGTATCATCCTAAATGAATCCAATTATGACTAATGATCACAACTAATGGAGATGCACATTACAGAGAGGGAAGAATTGTCCTACATCCGTGGGAAGGTGAAGCCTCCAACAGAGAACGATGAAGGATATGAAAAATGGTATGCTGAAAACCAAAAAGTGAAAAGATGATTATTGATGTCCATGAAGCCAGAAATCATAAAAATGTATCTTCGCTTACCCACTGCCCTTGATATTTGGAATGCTTTGTCAAAGAAATTTTATGATGGAAGTAATGAGCCACATTTGTTTGTCCTGAATCAAAGAGCATTCACTGCAAAACAAAATAATAGAACATTAACTAAATATTATGGGGAGTTGGTTGAGATTTTTAGGGAATTGGACCATCGTGACAAAGTAGTCATGAAGGACCCTGATGATGTGAAGTCATATCAGAAGTCTATTGAAAGATTAAGGGTGCATATATTTCTTGCTGAACTAGATGATGATTTTGAACAAGTTCGTGGGAAAATCTTGCGCAAGGAAGTGACACCTGATTTAGAAGAATGTTATGCATTAATCCGGAGAGAGACAATCCGGTGAACAACATTGAAAACAGAATATATGATTTCTGATTCCACAGCTATGATGACAAAGAAGCAGCCAACAAATCATCACAGTAAATCGAAGCAATCAAAAGATTTTGAAAAAGGTAACTACAAGTGTACTCAGTGTAATAAGGATGGACACACCAAGGAATGATGCTATGAAATCATAGGATACCCCGAGTGGTGGGATCACAGTCGAGCACCGAAGAAGAATTCAAAAAGAAATCCAACCGCTGCTGTAACTGACAAAGAGGACGACAAAGGCATGATGCTTGCTACAATCGCAAGTAGTGATGATTCCAATGGTAAGACTTTAATAAACACATCTACTGTTTTGAATAATGCATGGATAATTGATTCTGCATGTTCTGATCATGTGACTTTTGATATTAGACAGATTAAAAATCTTAAACCTTTCTCACAAAAAATTATTTCCACAGCCAATGGTAGTAAATCCACTATTATTGGAGAAGAAATTGTGTCTATTTCAAACAATTTAAATCTTGATATTGTCTTTGTTGTTCCTTCTCTTAAATATAACTTATTGTCAGTCTCGCAAATAACCAAAGCTCTTATATGTGTTGTATTACCTGGACCTGATAGAAAAAGATTCAAAGAGACTTGGTCAAGTGCTAGCAACAAAAGGGTCTCAAGAAGTAAGAAAAGGCGAGGATATTTGGTTATGGCATAAGCATCTAGGACATGCATCTTTTGGTTACATAAAGAAATTATTTCCAAATGTATTTGACCAAGTAGACACTTCAACTTTTTATTGTGATGTTTGTGAGCTTGCAAAGAGTCATAGAACATATTTTCCTTTAATTTTAAATAATTTTTTTTTTCCTTTTATGATCATTCACTCTGATGAATGGGGTCCATCTAAGGTTACAACGTTGGGTGGCTCAACGTGGTTTGTAACGTTTATTAATGATTGTACTCAAATAACTTGGTTATGTTTGATGAAGTCTAAAAGTGAAGTTGGAGGACTATTTCAGAAATTCTGCAAAATGATTGAGACCCAATACTGTTAAACATACAAGGATATGAAGCTTGAAGATTTTGATGATAATTCAAGAACAAAGGACTTAAAGAGTTGAAGACTTAGAATCATGTGTATTTTACTTGTAATAACTATGTTTTATGTTTTTGAGTCTGTATAATTAGAGTACAAGATAGCCAACATATAGTCCATCATCTGAAAACTCATTTTTATCAAATCCACTCTGTGGTAATCGATTATCACTTAGAATAATCGATTATCCTGCACTGAAAAATTGTTTTTCTGAAAACCTTGCTGTGATAATCGATTATCACTCAGGATAATCGATTATCCCAGCTAGATAATCGATTATTTACACAGATAATCGATTATCTTGGTCCTGTTTTACTCCTCTGCGAAAATGGCTCTGTAATAATCGATTATCACTCAAGATAATCGATTATCTACGTCTGTTATGAGTTTTGAAATTCAAATCTAGACCAATTTATGAAAACCCTATTCCCAATTCTTATGTTTTCGAAAATCATCATTTGCCAGACTCTATTCTTTTTACTTAAGGTTCTCTAAGACTCTCTGCAAAATAACAATCTTTTTTCATACAAAAGTTAAGAGCTGTGATTGCTAGAGGACTTTCTGTAGGAAAGAAAAATGGGCTTTTGAAAACCTAGTGTGAGCTAGAAGCGATAAGAATCACTGAGTGAGTTTCTTAGTTGATTGTGTGTTGTGCCATCTTTAAGAAAAATTGTTGTTCATCCTTTGTGGATTCAAATGAGGTGTTCATCTCTTGTGTGACTCAAGAGAGGTGTTTTCTATTCCTTATCTTTTTCAATTTGTAATCTGTTGTAACTTGTGATTATAATGATAACGTTAATCCTCTTTTAGAGTGATTAACAATTGAACATAGGGTCTTTTGATTCGAACCAGTATAAATCATCTGTGTAATCTTCTTTCCCTTATCTCTTTACATTACAAGCATTTTAATTGGGAAAATTTTTAAAACCCTAATTTTTATAAGAAACCAATTCACCCCCCTCTTGGTTTTTGTCCTTAAACGTGAACATTCCGCTGCGCGATTCTAACAAGTACAAAGTACAAGTTCAGGTACTGCACAGTGATAATGGAGGAGAATATATGTAATCAGAACTTTAACATTTTTTAGTAGCCAAAGGAATTGTTCATCAGATATCTTGTTCAAATACTCCACAATAGAATGGGGTGGCATAACGAAAGAACCGTCATCTATTGGAGATGGTCCGAGCTGCACTGATTGGAGCTCACATGCCAACAATATATTGGGGAGAAGCTCTCACATATGCAGTATACACTATCAACCGAACACCGTGCAGGTCTCTTGAGTATAAAACACCTCTTCAATTACTTACAGATGCAGTAGTAAGTCCTAAAATTACTGAACTAACACATAGAGTTTTTGGTTGTATTGTTTATGTTCACTTACACAAGCATCAAAGAAGTAAGTTTTCTCCTAGAGCTGCAAGGTGTGTGTTCCTTGGCTATGTGGATCACCAGAAAGGATATTGGTGCTACAATCCACAAACCAAGCAAATGTTTACTACTATAGATGTATTTTTTCATGAAACCTTGATATATTTTTCCCCTGAGTCTGAAATTCAAGGGGAGAATTATGATGAAGTTCAAACTTTTGTTCCTCAATAAATTGATATTGAGGTCAGATTGGAGAAAGAAAGTTACAAAATTATATCAGGAGATGATGAAAGTATGCAACAATGATCAACAACCACATAATGAGGAAGATTTTGAGCATGTCAAGATCGAAAATTTGTCTGTTGATGCTGATGATATACCACACCAACCGTCCCCTCAAGAACCTAATACAGAAAAAAGAAGTATTCCAGATCGTGTCACTAGAGGTACCCTAAGCCTATTTATGATCCTGACCTCACCAGTAAGACAAGATACCCTATGAGTAATTATGTTTGTAACCAGAATTTTTCTAACTCAAATATCGCATTTATAAGTCAATTAACTACTGTATCTATTCCTAACAGTGTACAGGAAGTTTTAGCTGACTCCAAGTGGAAGGATGCTATGAATGAGGAAATGAGATCCTTGCAAAGAAATAAAATATGAGAATTAGTAGATTGTCCAGTTGGAAAGAAACCAATAAGATGTCGATGGATGTATATTGTGAAATTTAATGCAGATGGCACAATTGAGAGATTCAAAGCTAGATTAGTGGCAAAGGGGTACACACAAACATATGAAATAGATTACATTGAAACGTTTGCTCCTGTAGCCAAAATTAGTACAATTCGAGTATTGTTATCTTTAGCTATAAACCTTGACTGGTCCTTACAACAATTTGACGTAAAAAATGTCTTCTTACATGAGGAATTGTCTGAAGAAGTTTATATAGAGCTACCAGAAGGATGTGGGATCCCGAATACACATAGCAAGAAAGTATGCAAGTTGAAGAAGTCATTGTATGGACTAAAACAATCGCCACGAGCATGGTTTGGTAGATTTACCAAGTCAATGCTTGCTTTTGGATATCAATAGAGTAACCAAGATCATACCTTGTTTCTAAAGAAAAAGGAAGGAAAGATTACAATTCTTATTGTCTATGTTGATGACATGATATTTACGAGAAATGATATAGAAGAACGCAAGGCATTGAAAGAGTACTTGACAAAGGAATTCGAGATGAATGATCTTGGTCTTTTAAAATATTTTCTTGGAATTGAGGTCTCAAGATCAAAGTCAGGTATTTTTCTCTCATAATGAAAGTATGCATTGGATTTACTGAAAGAAACTGGAATGACAGCATGCAAACCAGCAAATTCTCCAATTGAAGAGGGATTGAAGTTGTACATTGAAGAAGATCAAACTCCAACTAACAAGGGAAGATATCAGAGACTTTAGGGAGATTGATGTATCTCTCACACACTAGGCCAGATTTATCTTATGCTCTTAGTGTGGTTAGCCAGTTCATGCACAATTCAGGTGAAAAACACATGGATGCTATTATACGGATTTTAAGGTACATAAAAGTTGCTCCTGGAAAAGGAGTTATGTTCAAGAAAAACTCCAACTACAAGGATGTGATGGTTTATACTGATGCAGATTGGACATGTGCGCTTGATGATAGAAGATCAACCTCTGGATACTTTACATTTGTAGGAGGTAGTCTTGTCACATGGAAAAGCAAGAAGCAGAAAGTTGTAGCTAGATCTAGTGTAGAAGCTGAACTTAGAGGAATGGTTCTTGGACTTTGTAAATGTTTGTGACTCAGACTACTTCTCCAGGATTTAGGGTATGCACATACACATCTCATTCAATTGTATTGTTGATGTGAACATGACCTATGATAAGGGCTAGAGCAAGGGAAACAAATGAAGTTCTTCAACAAGTATTATTGGTTGACCAAATTATGTTTCGGATTAATCAATTAATGGACTTTAGTTTGGTTTTATTGCAAGTTATAATAAGGGCCCAATTGAAAATTTAGTTATCAGTCTTTGGGAGACCAAGAGGGTGCATAGCTGATTGACTTTTGGATGCCACAATTTCAGTTACAATTAGTCATTAAGTAGTTTTCAATTCCTAGGTTAATAAATCATTATTAGCATTTATTTTCCTTTAGTGAATATTTGTAACTCTGATGACAAAACTTCTTTATAAGCTGAACCATTTTTATCAGAAATAACAAGTTGAGTTTTATTTTTAAAAATATTAGAGTTTATCTCTTTTATCTTAGTGAGAATGATTTTCCTAAGTTCTTGAGTGATTCAAGAACACTTGGTTGTATCAAAGGACTTTCACATCCTTTGTGAGTTGCCTTCCTTGGAAAGAGTGATTCTTTCTTTCCACCTTATCACTAAATTCCTAAATTTCCTACAAGATTCTAACCTTAAAGATCCTAAATCACTCATTGTGATTCATATCAATTGTGATAATAAAGTTGTGTGCGACATTGCTTACAACCCTGTCCAACATGATTGGATGAAGCACGTAGAGGTTGATAGATTTTTCATCAAGGAAAAGCTTGATAAAAATATTCTAGAATTGCCAAATATACGATCTGAAGATCAGCTGACAGACATTCTTACCAAAGTTGTGACAAGTCAGATTTTTAGGAGATTATTGGACAAGTTGGGAACGTATGACATCCATTTACCAACTTGAGGGGGAGTGTTGGGATAAAGATATTTGATTAGCTAAATTATAGGTTTGTATAACGGTACAAAATATTATATAATCAGGACTTCCTTTATTTAGTCATGATTTATTGAAGTAAAATACTATAAGATCATAGTATCTGTGTAAAAAAATAATATGAATAAAAATTATAAAATGAATTCTATGTTTTTCAATTTTAAGCAATGTGAAGAAAATGGATCTTCCAAAACATAGCTGAGTTTTGAAGAATTGAAATTTATGCATCGGGGTCAATTTAATATAAAGGGATAATCTGAAAACATTACCTGTTTATAATTAGTTATTGTCTGAACTTATTATAAACGCAATTTTTATCATTGATTATTGGGTTTCACAAGTTCCAATTGACTTTTTTTTTTTAATAACCTCACCATAATTTCATGTTTTTTTAGATTTAGCAAGTAATGGAGAAAGTGTTGAAAAGAGTGCTTGGAAAAATTTATTACTCCATGCAAATATTCATGCTCTGTGTGTATATTTGAATATATAAGGGTACCTTCTAACACTACAAGAAATATTAAAATTACCGACGGTCAAAATCCGTCGATAATAATTTTATTTTTTATTAAATATTTTACTTATTTATATCATATTTTTTTAATAGAACCCCTTTCCCTTTATATTCTTAAAATTTATTATTAATTATTTCTTCATATTATATTTTTATAGTTTTAATTGGCAGAATTCGAACCCATGCACTTAGAGTTAGAGGTTGATATTCTAACCATTAAGCTACTAGAATTTTTTGATAACAATTTACAAATAAATTATATTTATATGAAAATATATTTATATATATTTATATTTATTTATATATTTATATATATTTATATATAATTAAATATTTATTTTTTAAAATTATTTAATTTAATAAATTATTATAAATTAATCTAATTATGATTAAATTAAATTATTAAATAAAAAATATTTTATTTTTTAATTAGGTGAATAATTAAATTATATTATATAATTTTACCAACAGATATATCTGTCGGTAAATAATTGTTAATTTACCGATGGAAATATCCGTCGGTAAATAATTGTTAATTTATAGATAAATTTATCGATGAATATATTCGTCGGTAATTAATTGTTAATTTATCGACGGATTTAGCGACGGTAAATTCATCTATAAATTACCGACAGATTTATCGACAGAAATATCCGTCGGTAACTAATTATTATTTTATCGACAGATATATCCGTCGGTAACATAAAATTCCATAAATATTTTATATCCGTCGGTAATTTCTGTTGGTAATGATTTTTCTGACATTTACATATCCATCGATAAATATGTGTCGGTAATACGCACTTTTTTTTGTGTGTAATTAGATCCGCAGGTGTACCTGCATGTCAAACCGCCATTCAAGATCATAAGCAGCGGAACTAATCTCTATGGAATACTTTCCTGGTGCGCATGAGCTCTCAATTGTCCCATCAGCGTTAATAAGTGCTTCCCGTGCCAGAGCATTAATCTCCATTTTGTAACGGAAATGAGGGTGTAGCAGTTTATATATGGGATGCATCTCACTAATTAAGTTGTCTGTTGGTTGCAATAACATAGGGCTCTGTCACACAGTGAGTTCTTAACCTACCACACAAGACAACAATTTAATCTTAATTTGGCCTTGTTCACAATGATCAATAAAATATAGACTGAATATTAATGTAACTGTGAATGAATGACTCAATGAGAGGGGTAAGCTAAATATATAAAACCTTAATATTGTTCCTTAAATATGATTAGTATTAGTATTATTTTTAACTAAAATGAGAATTTTACTTAGATATTAGATAATTTCTCCCTGTAACCTTTTAATTCAATTTTTTATTACAAGGGTTATAACAGTATCTAAAGAACTGTATGCATTTTATGTTTATATCAATATCAATGCCTTAAGGTAAAAGGTAGTTTACCAATTTCACCAGTTTGAATTAATACTAAGGAGGCTCTCCCCCTCCCCCGGGGAAAAAATTATTTAGAAGAAGAATTTAAGATCAAAATGTGGTTCAAGCAAGTTAAAGTGGTCCTCAAGGAAAAAAAAAACAAAGAAAATGATATCTAATTATACAGAACTTGAGAAAATAATAAATTATTTATACTTATATATTTATTATATTCTTATAATTATTGGTTTAGTTAGAAAAATTATTATAAATATATATAATAATAATTTAATTATTTTAGTAAACTAAAATATAATAATAATAATTTATAATTAAATATTACTTATACAACGATTCTCTCCCTGAAATACACATTATTATTAATGTATTTATTCGAATTTTAGAATATTATTCGTGATCTTCTTTAGTAATTTAACACTTATTAATACGAAATCAGTTTCCTGAAGCGAATGAAGGATCTCCTTGAGGGAAGGAAAGGAAATAAAGGAGACCCTGCACTTTTATCATCCCAAATGAAGAGCAGCCAATTAAGTTAATTATGATTGAATGTGTGGTGAATTATATTTGTAATTGGAAATTAACACCAAAAATACACATAAAGTTCGATATAAATTGTGCACTTAAACTACAAATACAACATTTTTTCATTCTTAGCAGCAAATTACTGCATTAAATTAATACAAGTTTGCATTTAACATACAATTAATGAGCTGAGCATAAAACAAATAAATTCAACTGCATGGGTAGAAATTATTCACGATTCCAAAAGCCGAGGTTTCAGATTATCACCTCAACCACGCTTTGGATTATTGTTTCTTAACATACCCAACACAACATAAACATGGTAAAAAGAAAACAGTTCCTATCTCCTGCAAACGATTCCCAACCCATGTGAGAACTTGGTGCAATCCAGGGTGCCATATTCCATCATTTGGGGAGTGGTCTCTTTCTCAAATGAACTTCCCTGTGAGAACACACAAGAACCACACTTATGAGACAGCAATGAGCTAGTCTTGTACCTCTCTTCTCCACCAACAACAGGCATAGCCACACCAGGCTTTGCAGGGTTCTCAAAATCCAACCTATAAGTCCTCCCAAGCACACCATTAACTTTTGGGGACAAGGCGAAGAACCTGAATTGAACTTCCAAGTGAGCAAAACAGTTATCAGAAGGTACTTGGTAGTTGTGGATTCTGTCATCCTCTTTGGTCACTGGCACAACATTGACCAAGATTTCGGCCGCATCCTTAAGTGTAACCATGACACTGTTCTTGTTTGCCACTCTCTCCACTTTAACATCTTTCTCCTCATTGTACCAAGTGGAGAGAGCGCCTTCAGCTAGGGCTACATGGTTCCCATTGTAGTTGAGTTTGAGGTAGTCAAGATCACCATCCCATTGGGGTGTCTTGGTGGCCTCGAGTGAGAAGGTTTTGGAGTTGAAGAGGATTCCAAGGGCTTGAATCCATGTGTAGTCACGGGACCTACCAGCAGGTCTGTGTCCAATAAAACGAGCATTGATTTGAAGGTTGGAATCGGAAACTAAGGAGAAATGTTCATTACTCTTTCCGTGGAAGTAGAAGACTATACCATCCCCACCTATGAAACGGGGATCAAAGCATCCTGATCCTGGTGCATTGCAGTTTGGCTTACGACCTAATCAGAAAATGAATTGAATTAATTATTCTCCTCCCAATCATGGAGTAAATATATTTAATTCAATACAGATAACTTCTCGTATGGACTTTTTCATGGTCAATTTCCACATGACACCTCAAATTTTTTTCTTTACCCATAGTTAATAAAACTAATATGTAAAAAGTGATCAAAATCATGCATACATAATGTTCTTTCAAGTGATACAATAATTTAAAAATTTACTGAACACTTATTTATTACTTGATATTTACAAAGATAAAAAAAAATGTAAAATAGTTCAAGGATACGACATATAAGTAAAGAAAAATAAACATAAATTATTAGTTCTAATCAAATAAGTTCGTAAAGAAAAACTGTTCATATATCATTAGTCCAATAATTTATGCAATTTAGTTCCTGCAATGTTTTAACTTAATTATGACTTTATAAAAGGAAAAATATATTTTGACGTTCCTTTCCTCCTAATAACTTTGTGCTTATTATTATATTATTATTAAATAGGAGATGTAAAGTAGAGGTTTGAAAAAATAAAAATAAAAAAAATTTATTGTTATTACACTGCTCTTATAAAAATTTTATTTTAGGTCGAAAGTGTATAATATGCAGTATTGTTATCGTTGTAGTTTTTATTTCGCAAAACATGTTTACTTTTATCCTTCATCACTACATGTTTACTTAAAGATAAAATCAAGTATTAGACATGCATTAGAGAGAGAGAGAGAGAGAGAGAGAGAGAGAGAGAGAGAGAGAGAGAGAGAGAGAGAGAGAGAGAGAATGGTTACTTCTGCATTGTGCCCTGCAAATAGGTTTGTTGCAATCAATGTGACAAACCTTAGCCTTAGGATCAGTTGTATCACTGTTAGGGCATTCCTGGGGACATTGGATGTACTTTCCATAGCATCTGGTTCCTTTGCTGCCACAGTATAGGCTATTGTATGCCTTGGCATGAACCAAGGTTGAGACAAAGACCAGGAAGAAGATTAGGAGGGAACTTCTTTTGGTGATCCCCATTCTTGAATATTCTGCGTATTATATTATCAAATATAGGAAACACGCAGCGAATTGAAGCTGAATGATGCAGCAACTGTGTCTGCCCCTGGTATTTATAGATGTGTCTTCAGGGATGCTTCTATATTATGAAGGTGGCTTTTACAAACTTGTAGTATAATATAATCTAATGCTAAGTTAACTAAACTCAAAGCAATAACATGGGGTTCTGTTCATTCAAAGCAGAATATCATGAGGATTCTTATAATTATTATTATTACTATTTCTCCTTATACCAGGTTACATCTCATCTGATACATACCTTCAACAGCAAATCGGTTGCTGGAGTAATTAATATCAAAAAACATAAACAGACACTCAACAAAATTTCAACATAAGTATTTTAAAAAAGTATCTACATGATCATGTATTTGTGTTTTGTTCAATAATTATGAGATTGAGTGAAAATTCATAAAATGTATAACAATTTTTTCCCATATAATGTGTTGGGTGCGCGTTCTACGCTCCGAATTTAGGTTTACCAATTGTATTACTAGAATTTGGATGCAATTTCATTAACGGGAGGTTGCATACCATAATACATGATAAAATATTGTTGTTTCTGAAAGGTCAACGCTTTAAACTTTGTTGTAAACTTAAGTGAACTATCTAATGTCTCTCCTTTACCAAACATCAAAAGCTTAGATTGTGCTATTCGTCAATATGGGAAAAATATAATATTCCTTAATAGGTTAAGAATTAACCACATAAAATAACATAATACCATTTTTAACCTTAAATTTTAAAATTATATATTTATGAAAAAAATCATTAATATTTTATTCAACTAGTTAATTTCTACATAATTAGAAATTCTTCTTACATTAATTTTTAATTTTCATCATTTAAGCAAGGGTTTAGAACAAAATAATAAATTATTGAATTAACTTTTTGTAACCTATACTTAACTTAATTATTTGAAAACCAGCACATACCACACGCTAGAGTTTTTTTTTTTCAGCATAAAGTAAGTTTAACTTTAATTATTTTAATTAACAGGTGTGGTATGGAGATATTTAAAATTATATCTCTCTTAAATTACTGATTTTCATTTTAGTAACATTAAATACTTAATGATAAGTTATAGAAAGCTATATTATCTATTATTAATTATATTTTTAATATTATTTGTCTTTTACTTACATGTCAGACTCAAAATTACATAGTAAAAGAATTTAGAGAGAATTAAATAATATATATACACTTAAAATTGATTATGATATAAAAATAAATATATTATATAAAATATATTTAATATTAATATAAAATTATATACATTTTAATTATATTCAATGAATGTTCATGTTATAAACATTATCAATTATTACATAGTTTATATGGTAAGTTTTTCAATAATAATATTATTCGTTAAATTTAAATTTTGTAAGTTCAAGTTTATTTTATTATCTCTTTTTTTCTTAAAAAATAAGTCTATAAGGTTTTTCTTAAACATCTCTAAAACTCAACCTTTTTTTTCTTTATATTTTAACATCATAAAATATTAATTAGTAAATAATATACATATTAATATGTTATAATAATGAGTAAAAACAATAAAATAAATTACTTCAAGAAAAATATAAAAACTAAAAAAAAACTTATAATTTTTAAGTTATAAGGTGAAACTTAAAAAAAATATATGTAAGTAAAAAAATAATAAAAAGGTAGAAATATAATAATAAAGACATGACTCTTTGAGGTTGAAGTGTAAAAGGTGAAAAGGTGAGAGAGAAAAAGTAATAAATATGAAAATAAAAAGATATAAATAGAAAATTATGTAAAAGAAAAAATATTTATTATAATAATAATTATTATTATTATTTTATATTTAAAAAATAATTTTATTTAATTTTTAAATTTCTTATAATTATATATATCGGCCTCTGATTATAAAAGAGATTTTGGTGGATTATTTTATTTTATTTTTTTCAAAATTACAGTGTACGTTAAATCATTGTCTAATATTGTTAATGTTTGTTTTAGGAGTTTGAGATAAGTCAAACTCTTCCAATTAGGGCAAAGATCATTATGTAGATATATCATTTTGTTTTACTATTGCAATAAATCTAAAAATACAGTATATAAGTAATGATAATTTTATTTTTTTATAAACCAATAAGTTAATTTTGTAAAATTTTAGGTTTAAACCACTTTATAACAACATAACTTATTTTTTAATTATAGATATAGTTTTCTCTTACTATTAGTATTCTAGTGTTCCTTTACATTTGATCAAAACATGGTGAATTCAGCTCTTTATGTTATGGTATTTTGTTAATCAAGTTGTGCGTGATTTTAAAAACAAAATATTTTTTTAAATGAAATAAAAATCAATAAATGTTTTAAAATTAGCAAATGGCATCAAAGTCGTAAAAAATACTAAAATTAGAAAAAAATATTGTCCAAAAAGGATAAAAGATGAAAAATATTCATGAAAATAATTTCGTTCATTTCATTTTAATATTGTCATTAAAAGGTTGATGTTGAAACAGATTAAAGGGTAATGCATTTCATTTTCAAGAAGGGGACACGATTTTAAACTAAAAAAAATCGATATCAAAGTAATTTATACTTACTATTACATTATTAATATTTTATACACAAATATAATTTTAATAAATGTTATAATTATGTTATCTTGATCTGTAAAATCTTATTAGAAAATAAACAACAATAAAATGTCGGATTTTTATATGTATTTTAAGAAGCATATATTACGTTATTTAAAAAAAATAAAAACATTTTTTATATTATATTGATTTTTACATATGTACAAATGAAATATCAAATAATTTATATTAATACAATTTTTTATATCTAATGTTTGTGAAAGAAAATTTTAATTCAATAATGAGTTTTAAAAATTGTTGGGTGAATTCTTTAGGTTATGTAAAGGATGTCTCGTACTGAGAGTTGTGATTAATAATAATTTCAAACTTAAACATCTCAAAGTCCAAGTGAAGTTTACGATAGATTACGAGTATTAGGAACATTATTTTATATAATGCTTTTTTAGTAAAAATTAAAAAAAATGAAGATGCATAATCATTAAATAAAAATAGATTTCACAGATTTTTATATTTTTTAATAAATTAAATATTTAAAATTAAATTAAGACGATAATATAACAAATTCACACCATCAATAGTTAATTGAAATGACTTTTCAGTTAGTTATTATATATATAAAAAAAAGTTTAAGCCATTTTTTTAATATCTTAATAAAATTAGCCAATTTTAATTTTATTTTTTTATCATTTTTTATTTGTTTTCATTCCTATAAAATTCGAAATTAATATTTGCAGTGTTAATAAAATATGTGAATTTTAGATATAATATTTAAAAAATATTTTTTTATTTTCATATCTCAACAATTTTGAATGACTTTTTCGATCCATAATATTAATTTTTAGATTAAAAAATAACACATTTGTTATAAATTTTTTTTCTAGGTGTCAGATGTTAACATTAGTGTATAATCAATTAACATATCTTTTTTACCTCATAAATAATTAATTAGTTTTATATAATGTTAAAAAAGAAATTAATAATTTTCAATTTTAGAGAAAAATAAAAACAAAATCAAAATTCACTCATTTTACGAGAGCATATTCAAACAAAACTTTAATGATTATGCATTGAGAGTATAAAATAATTTTATATTATTAATCAATAAAAAAATTATAATCGACATGATATAGTTATTGTAAAAGACATTAATCTTAAAAAAACTTAGATGGCATAGTGATTTTTTTTTATTGTTAATAAAATATGTCCATATTGTAGAAGTTAATAAACTAATTAAGATGGTTCGATATTGAATTGTGTTTAGACTGAGTGTAAATCTAAAAATAGAAAACTTGTTTTTTTAAATTTAATTTCTAAAATAATAAAACCAACTATGTGGATAAGAGCATGAAGAAAAAAAAGTCATTCACAGAACCTTCATTTGTTGCATTTCTTACAGTTTCATCCAAGTATTATTTTTCCTTTAAGATTAAAAATTTATTAATAATTTATGTTTTGAATCAAATAACATTATATTATGTATCCAAAAATCTTATACAAACAAATATTTAATTTATATTTGTAATATTTCAGATTATTAAATCTGAAAATATATTATAGATTTAATAATTCAGAATTTATTTTTAAATTGAATTTTTGAAAATATATTTCAGCAGTCTATAATTTAATAATACAAATTTTCAAATCAACCCAGAAAAAATAATTATAGAATGTCGAATATAACAAACAATATTCTAGAATTTACAAGTTAAATCACTGTACAAATATAATGTTATGGTAATTTCACCAAAATGATAATCATGTTCTTACAGTCAATTTTAAAAATTAAACTAAATTATTTTAAATATCATCCTTCAAAATGAAAATTGTGTACATTTAAAAAATTGACATTTATTAATATTAAATCCTAAAATTTGTAATATTACAAAATCTCTAAATTAAACATAAATATGATTGATTTATGTAAAAGATATACAAGAAGAACAATGGAAAATGGAAATAAATAAATAAATTATAATAATGAGTTTAAACTAATTTATTTTAAATATTATTAGCGAAAATAACTATTAATACTAGTGAAAATATAGATGTTAAAGCTTTAACATCTTTGTATCCAGATTTTTTATATAATTAATTTTTTAAAAATTTATTTTATTTTTTTCTCACTCTTTAAATATATTTAATTTGTATTTTTATCTTATTTTTATTATTTTTTAAATATATAAATCATAATAAATTTTTTTAAATTATAATATTTTTATTTTTTTCGATAATAAAAAAGAATGATTATAAAAGAAATATTTTATATATAATTATAAATTAAATTATAAAATTTAAATAATGATATGTTTATAATAATATTATATAATAATTATCTTATGTAAGATATTAATCATTTTAAAACTTTAAATTATTATAATTTATTTCTAAAAATAT